AAAAATGTCACAGTCTGGTACGTGCGACCACCGAATCACAATCACCAACGAAGACAGCAACAAAACGTGAATTTAACGAAAACTAACAAAAATGAATTTCGGTGCGCACACCACGAAGACAGAAAAACAAGAGCGAGATGGGTCCGACGACATTCACCACGAAGGCTAAGGCCGCCGGACACCATAATGAAGATAAAATGCTCCAGTGCCACCACACAAAATAGAAAAACACTCGAAATCAATGAACTTTGTGGCACTGAGAGCATGATTTGAAACTTTTACAAAACATAACCGACAATTTTTTGAAAACGTGGAATAACAATCATTAACGTGCGACGATAACAGCGCGATTACGTGCCCGGCCGGTCGCACACGGAGGCTTATCACCACCGCCGACGATGGCTGCGGACACGCAACGCACCGCTACACATCGCACGAAAATGATAACACAATACAGACGAATTACAACACATTACATTTATTTCGCGGCTTATGGCGCGAACAATGACCAATATCATTAAACGTCCACCCGGACTTTTGGCGATTTAAATTAAAGAGGACACATAATCTTACTTTAAATAAGAAGGGAGACTCCGTCCCCCTCCGTCCCCTCACTTACTATAATATTATTACACTTTGCTATTTACTATTTCAAAGCACAAAAAGTTCTGTGCAGTCACTCGCGGGATGTGTCCATATATAACGATACCAGCTTATACAATAATTTTTCATTCGTCAATTTTTTTATATGTTATAAGCAATAAAAACTATAACTTAAAACTGGGTTTACGATATAATATATTATATATTATACGAGGTATAGTAGGTACATATGTTCCATAATCAGATCGATCACCGATAAAGCGGTGTTGATATTTGTTTGGATGCGGATTTATAACATTGTCTAATATAATACGGAAATGTTGATAAAACTACGAAATATCCAACATTGCCTAACCTTTCCAGTCATTGTCAACAATGACTAGGATATACCGACAATTCCTGAATTTTAATCTACTTATTACTTATCTACTTATACGTATATTTTTCCGGTAACATATACATATATAATTTAATTTTTAATGAATGTCAATTGTCGAGAGTTGGAGCATCACGTTGAATTTGAACCCGAAACTTATTAGGCTGATTTTGTTGCTGAACTCCAATTCAGTGCAAACATCATGTGGGCCATGCTATCGCATCTCACATCCACTCATATTTGGGAATTGGCTTCAAACGTGATTCGTGCATCTCTAAAACGCTAACTCAAATGGCTTGAAAATATAGGTTAATTTAATAATCTGTGTGCAAGCGATGTTTGTGGTGGTAATGTAATATTTACAGTTAACTATAATATTAGTACCCATAGTACCATAGCCATTATATGACTATCAGATAATCTTAACCAGTTCAGTTTTCATCTGCACTTGCATCGGTGTTTGGGAGTTTTCGTGTCGAGCAGTGCGAGAGCAAGGCGCACGAATTGAGGATATCATCCCATACATCAGTACAAGTGATACAGCTGAAAGAGATTTATTATTACTAGCGATTGCTGCATTCCATGAAATTATGCAGAGAGCATGAATTCGAAATGGTGTACAAATTGTGGGTCAAGCTATGGTATACATTAGGACATTAACTAATTGCTTGAAACATCATGCAGGACAACGTCTGTCGAGTCCACTAGTAGAATTAATGTAATGTAATCAAATCTTTGTCTACAATCAGAGGCGTATTTAGAAATTTTTTTTTTTTTTTTTGAGAGGGGTATCATACCTTATAGTGAAATAATTTTATAAATTATTATAAAATGTTCTTTATCGACGTATTGTTAGATTTTTGATTAACTTATTGAAATCTAACTATTGACAAACTACTATAACAAAATTACAAATTATGTTATAAATTCTAGTTTTCGTTTTTTATTTGCCAAATCATCAATAACTTCATCGGTTTGAAAGCCTAAATCTCAATGAATTGATGGCTTGGCAAGGACATCAACATGTCGACATCCCCACATCAGATTATTTATATACCATGTTTCTGTGAGTGCCGTGCGGTCGATTGTTATTATTATGGAACGGATTTTAATTGAAATAAATATTTTTATGTAGTTTTAATATCGAAAAGTTTTTAACATATGTGTAGGTTTCATTTCATTTTGAATTAACTGATGCTAATTTTACTTTAAATATTTTTAAATATTTTATTATAATTAAATATTTTATAAATATATAAATCATAATCTACAATAAATAGTAATCTGTATTATTGTAAAATTTTCGTTTTTATTTTAGTAGACAATATTATAAGAAAGATAAAAAGAAAAAGACAATATCTTAGCTAGGAAGTAGATACAAATTTTAAAAAACTTGCAAAACAATTTATCACCTATTTCCGCTAATTTTGGATTTTTAGTCGATACCAATTCAAAATTAGAATTTTTATTTTTGTATTATATATTATTTATAAATTATATTGAATTATATTTTATTTTCAATTTAAATATTTCAATATTATAAATAAATATTTATGAAGTAATAAACAAATATATATTTAAATATTTTTTAATTTTTTACTAAATTTAAATTCGTTTTCTAGTTTTTATCGTTATCCGATTACAATTTAATTATTAGCGATATTATTATTTTTTTTTATATATATATATATATATATTTTTTTTTTTTTTTGATTATACTTTAATACTTTATTAAATAAACAAACTAAAATTATTATATTACTGATATATTTAAAATTTAACGTTTTTGAATATTTTTTGGGGAAACTTTTTTTAGAAACCCTCGGCACCCCCCCCCCCCACCATAAATATGCCACTGGTTATTGCTAATCTAAAAAATCTAATGCTTATTGTAAGTCGCTTCTATGAAATACTCTCTAAAGTATATGTAATAGATCGTATAAGTTATGCCAAAGCTAAGGTAATGGTACAACAACCCTTGCTGCATAATACTGATGCTTCAAGTTGAGGCCTCTTGTACTTGATCATCTTTGAATGTTACCCATAACAATGTTACCATTTTCCGTTGGAATTGACAATAATCATAATCTTTGTTAGAACCTTAAAAGAAAAATCAAGGTTTTTAAATTAAAAATTAATATTAATAACACATGTATTTAATAATAAAAATTCACATAAATTATTTCGGACGTATTCTAAAGTTGCCATAAATACCAATAGACCTTCTATAGTAGATTAATCATACTCCACATTATCCATTATCTGTGGTAGTCCATCATGTTTTATTATATGGAGCCAATTATATACTTTAAACCTACAAAAAAAAAAAATGATGTAAACAAATAGTTGTGATAAACAAAACAAAATTAATGTATTTTCTTAAAATAGATAATAATTACTTTTCTAATATTAAAGACATAAATATGTTGGCATCTGATAATTCAGATAGACAAAATTGAAGTAAATATATATCCGCATCAACCATTGATGTACAGAATTCTGATTTTATGTACACCATAGCTTGATTTACAATTTATTCACCATTTCAAATCCATGCTTTCTATATAATTTCATGGAATTCAGCTTGAGCTTGAACAAGACGTAAAGCAATCGCTAGTAATAATGAATCTCTTTCAGCTGTATCAATTGTACTGATTTATGGTATGATATCCTCAATTCGTGCGCCTTGCTCTGCACTGCTCGACACACGAAAACCCCCAAATACCGATGCAAGGGCAGATGAAAACTGAACTGGTTGAGATTATCTGATAGTCATATAATGGCTATGGTACTATGGGTACCAATATTATAGTCAACTGTAAATTTTACATTACCACCACAAACATCGCTTGCACACTGATTATTAAAGTAACCTATATTTTCAAGCCATTTGAGTTAGCGTTTTAGACATGCACAAATCACGTTTGAAGCCAATTCCCAAATATGAGTGGATGTGAGATGTGATAGCATGGCCTACATGATGTTTGCACTGAATTGGAGTTCAGCAATAAAATCAGCCTAAATTTCAGATTCAAATTCAACGTGATGCTTCAACTCTCGACAGTTGACATTCATTCCTATAAACATTATATTTTCTAGTATTTTTGTACAAGTAATCATTAAAGAACATTAAATACAGAAATACATAATAATGAAAAATACCTTGAAACACGGAAAATATGAGAACCACGAATCTAACAAACGTTTATCATCCATAAAATGAATAGCAATAGATCTATGAAACAATACAATATTATATTATACAACCACCTCATAAATTATTATGATAATCTATAATGCTATTCATTGATACATCTTATTATTATGTTCTAACTTATATTGTTATAATGTTTTAGTTTAGTCTTTAATTTATATTGCAACCTTTAAATCTCCACTTTATATAGTATTGTAATACTATAATCTGTGCCCTCGGACGTGTATCTCAATAAATAAAAAAATATAAAAAAAATAAAATACATTATTCAGATCACTAGCTAATACCTAATAACCTTATTCTTTCATAACGGCCTTTGATCAATCTACTAAAACCTTGTGTTTGCTTTTTGCAATATCTTATATTAAAAGTAAATAAATAATTAATTTAATACAAATAATATATTATATTTATACAATTTATAATATATATATATATATATATAAATAATAACTGATTTAATAAAATTACCTTACCATAAAGTGTGGATCAATTGAACATTTACATTAGCATTTTGGTTAGATATGGTGCTTGAATCTTTTGTTTTTTCCAACATCCGTGCTACGCATTCATAGTGCATAACAAATGCTTCAGTAAAAGCTTCTTTGAAAGTAGCATCGTGAAACAAGTTTAACAACAAGCAGACAATATTTTAAGGAAACTCATATTGTACAATCCAAAAAACAATTTATTAAAAAAACTTGAATGATTCAGTTTATTTTTTTGACCACTCTTATCACCTAAAATATTATTTTCAATTATAATGAATATTTTCTTATATAAAATGTATTAAAAATAAAATCAAAAAAACATTTAATATATGATAAAAGATAAAGGCAATAATCACTTAATTAAATACATTGACAGTTTTAAACCAATTTCATAGATTTTATTTTATTGAATATTTTCAAAGCTATAATAATTAATTATGAAAATATTATTATTTAATTTAATTTGATTAAGATTTCATAAAATATAGAATATTAAACACAAAACCAGCTGAATATCTACATATTCTTCAAGAAAAACAAAATAGAGAAAATCTTATATTTACATTATTTATTATTATACATATATTGACATTATTTTATATCAAGAGATCTCGACACTAGCGCCTTTTCAAGTTTTGGAACAAATGAGTTAAAACAAATTGCTCTAAATGAATAAAAAAACTATGTACACTTTCCAAAGTATTTTAATGTCAGGTGGACAGAGTTTACATACAGTTTATCACTGAGTATATTAAGAAATTGGAAAATTATAGTTAAGTAATTTACTTTAAAAAAACTAGAAAATTACTGTAAAATATAAACTGAAGGTTTTTTTAAAACCTGACTTACGTCAAAAAATTAAAACTGATACATAATTTACATAAATAAAATATGTTCACATGCTCTGTATTCAGTGTTGGGAATTATCTAGATATATTGTATAGATAATAATATTCATTTAATTATTTTATCTAGATAAAAAAATGAGTGATTATATATTATCTTATTTAGTTAAATTTAATGGTTATCTGTGTCAAATCGACAAAATTTGGCGAATCTTCAAACATTATCTTTTTTAAAATCGAAAAATAAAGATCTTGTTATTTTAAATGAATTTCCAATTATCAAAGAAGTATTTTTTAAATATAATACGACCATTCCATCTTCGTAGACCCTGATTTAGGCAAATGCAGATGGATCATTTGCACTTGGAAAATGTATTTGTTGTAGAAAATTGTATTTTTAAGTTAATTCCACAAACATTTATTTTGTAAAATATACCTAATACCAACTGTCAATGTTTAGAGTCCAGTATATTTTTATCGTTAAATTGTCAGTTGAATTTTGGTTATTTTTGTCATTCCACGCCCCGATTCTAATCAGTTACCATCACAAAATATTAAAATAATTATAATAGAAAATTATTTTTAATATTGGAAATATTTTGATACCTAATAACTATTTATAGATTTATTTGAGCCCAGTATTTACAGATTTACCCGTCGTTTATGACGCTATGAGAATTTCGTTCACACAATCACCATTTTTTAGAACCAATGGTTTATATTTCATTCAATTTTTAAATTTTATAAGTTTTATAAGTTTTTTTATAAAGTATTTGATATTTTTAAACATATAAATATATTTTTTTTTATTATTATTAACATGTCTCCCCCTCTATGTAGATTTTTTTGACTTTGGGGGCTCCAAAAAAATTGTGTACTTGGCCCTAATTTTATTAAATCAGACCCTGCATCTTCGGCAGTAGTAAAACGGTTATTTAGTAAAGCTGTTCAAGTGTTAAACGCTAGACTTAGTGGACTTAGTAATGATACATTTCAAATAATTTTATGCTTTAAATCAAAGTATGATTTATAAAGAAAAAAATGTTTTTTAAAACATTAACTATGTTAATTTTTTTTTTTTATTCAATCTATATTTCCATTTATTTTTAAAATGTTGTTAAAAATTTAAGCCAAGAAAAGGCATATTAAAGTTATATTGATTAATTATATTTTGTCATGTATAATTATATAATTATAATATCTTTTTAATAACATTAAAATTAAAACATTAAATATTGTATTATTATAAATGTGTGATTATAAAGTGATGAAGAAATATATTTTTTTTTCTATATTTTACCATTTTAGACTTTGTATAATATGTGTATTCAATTTTGGATAACACTTTATAACCTTGTAGTATAGTTAATTTTTATATTTTACATATTTTATGCAGTACTAAATTAAAAATACTTTATTTAAACGATAAACACATTAGTTATAAAATAAGCTATTTGGAGAAAAATACATTGACATTTTTTTTAACGAGTCTGTAATAAGATTGGTAACACAATCACTTGTAATAAAAACATTTATACACTATTACATAAATAAAATAATTCTATATCACCGATAGTGGCTATCCCCCTCACCCCAAGGGGAATTTTCATTTTAAATTCCCCCCCTTGAAGTTTGGTCAAAATTTCCGAGGTGTATACAGAGCGTGTAATATGATATTATACGTGTGTATTACACAAATTCACAATTTATAAATTTATAATAGAAGTAAAAAAAAAATATATCTATTTTTTATCTAGATAAATTTGTATGTATCTTTATCTTTATCTAGATAAAATAAATTGGTATTATATATAAAACTGGGTTCACACTACACCGTGCCGTGTCGTGTTTTCCAAAATAATTATCTCTGATTGGCTGAACCATATTGTTACATCAAGGTATACCGTACAATAAATCACAAGTTACCTCACTAACCATAAAATACCTTGAAGCTGGTTTTATCCAATTTTTGAGCGTGTGGTTACCGATTTTAATAGTAATAATTTAATATTCTATGATAACAGTATTCATAATAACAAAGGGCTCGGAAGGTGTTGCATTTGTATAATTTTATTGGGCTATTCAATTTATTCCTAAGTAACCTTGAAATTATTTTCATAACACTATGAAAAACCTAATGTGAACATTTTGAAAGAAAATTTCAAATTTTAAGTTATTTATTTTGCTTATATTTTATTTTATCTTACATATTTATACCTAAAAATTATATTTAGCTTAGTCCAATATACAAATAACATTTGTACTGTTATGTACGAGTATATTTAATAAAATATCTGTATTTATGAACATTTTTGCGTTAAAAAAATTAAGTGCATATTTTTTAAGCATATTTGTACTTTTTGAAGCGCATAAGTGCATGCATATTTAGTACTTTTTAAGAGAATTAAGTTCTGAGCCCTAATAATAATATAATACATACTTTCTACTACATAATTTAATATTCATCAGTTATTATTTATTGAAACTTATGAAAATATTTCATATCTAATAAAAAAATTGCGAAAATATGTAACCAAAATTTTATAGCATCACCATAAGATATATATTGGTATCACACATTTTTTAAAGTACATGGTCTGGTAAAATACACGTCACGGTGTAGTGTGAACCCGGCCAAATTTTATCTAGGTAAATGTTGAACGAATTATCTGTTATCATATCTAGATGATTTTTTGATTATCTTTTCCCAACACTGTCTGTATTACAACAATAGATTATATTTTAAAAAATCATATTATATAATATAATAATATTTTTTACATTTAATTATAAAAAAAAATATTAGTTGGTATTTCAAATCGTTTAAATATTTTCCAATATTTTGTTGAGTATAAAATCAAACAGAATAGCGTTAAGAAATACAAGTCGCGTGGAACGGGTGGTGTAATACATAGTTATACCTCAGGAAGGCATTAACAACTACCCGCTATCGGTATTCAATTTCGATAAAACTTTTTCACTATACACTCGACAGTCAGCAAGCTCTATAGACTATTTTTATTTTCAATATTTTATTGTAATATAACAGTTTATAAATTGAAAATAAAAATAACCAATATAGCCTATAGTACCTATCGACCGCCGAATATATAATGAATAGGTAATTAAAAGTTTAACTATACATAGAAACTTATTTATTTTAATAATGATAGACTAATGAGAGTATAATTATTTTTTTTAATACTTCAAAAAGGATTTTCTTACATTTTCAAACGACGAAAAAAACAGAATTAATTCCAATGTAAGACCTAGACTGAATATCACTTCAGCTATAAATTGAAAAAAAATCGAATAATCACACAAGACATTTTCAAACTATACAATATTACAGATTGAATTTATTGATGTTTAATTTGTGGATTTTTTTCACGATTAAGTTACAAATAAATCCATATTAAAAATAGAAGAATGTAATTAGAATGTGAATACATGTATTTTGTGTAGTAATTAAAATATAATAAAGTTTAATATATGTTAAGTTAATTTTTTAACGTCCAATTCAAAACTGAGGAAAGGCCACAGACTCTTACAAATATTTGCTTTATTTTCAGTTTCTACTGCAACCATTAAACAGTCATTTTTGACCTTAAGAAGGTTAAAAAAATTCTATGCGTTCTACAATGACTGAATTTAGACTAAACTATGTTAATTACGTCTTATACAACTCGATTAAACAAATAAATAACACTACTATACTTAAACTATACTTTATATTAACTACTAGGTTATATTAACTACTTTATTATAACAATGATGAATTTAAAAATAATACAAAACTTACAAATTTATGCTCTATAAATTCCTTAGTTCTGCTGGACAAACAACGACTGACATAAGCTGACAGCGGTAGGGCTTACTTGCGATGAATCAAAAAACTGTTAATGCAGCGATTTGCGTGTGGTTGGGCTCGAACGCTCGGTTCCACGAATGATGACAATTATAATTTAAGACAGTTGTCATCATTGTACAATTTCATACTCATAATACAATTTATACAATTATATTCTAAATGACATTCGTTTATAACAACAGTTTATGATTTTCTTGCAGTTTCTCTGTACGCTTTTTACTCGTCCAACCATAGACTGCTGTTTAATCGAATATTATATTGAAATGATTATTTACAATATCTACATTTATAAAAATTAGATATTGTTTAATATCGATTTAACATTTATCCGATAACATTTTTCATAACGATCTACCTAAATTTTTTTTTTCCTGAAGCTGAGAATTGAATGCATAAACAAAACGTAAGATATTCATACCCCTTGGCGAGACAATTTACATTTGTGACACTAATTTGACATTATGCGAGATTTTCACTTATATTTGTAATATTTAGGGATGTGAATTTAATACACTAAAGAACCATA